AAAACCCCAAAACCCCAAAACCCCATAGTTATAGATAGGATAGTATGGTAAGTGTCGAATAATAAATTATTGTAGAATTATAAAATAAGTACTTGACTTATTTTATTCAATTTTTAGTCTTTTGCTTGCAACATTTTTAATAGAACTTCTTTTTCCCAACATCGTAAATAATCAATTGTTGCTCATCATCAATAAAGTACCATATATTCATGTCTTCATTATATAATTTCGATTTCAATCTTTAAGAGAATTCTAAACATCTTTAATGATTCTTTGGTGGTCTATATTCAAAACTCTAGACAGTAGGTACTTTGGATACTTCAATAAATTGAGGATATTGGTCTCTACCCCAAACTACCTTAATCTAATTAAGCTGTAATAAGTTGTTTCCAGATCTTTTCTGCTTAAAGCTTCCTCCAATAAAAAAGACATTTTCAGATTTGTGGTCATTTCTTTCCTTAAAAACAACAGCCTTATCGAATTCATCATAATCAGTTTAAAATTTAATCTCAATTGTTTTAAACTTTCTATCCTCAGGAACCATTGAAAGTTTGATATATTCGCAGTTCGTTTGAGCTCTTCCAAAAATTACAAACAAGTAATCCCCAACTATGAATATAGAATGTCCTCTTCTTGGTTGACTTAGACCTTTAAGATCATGGGGCTAGTAATTTATCTTAAAATTCTAATTATCTTTCAAAATAATATCATAGGACATTTCGTAATTCAAGGCGCGAATATTGGAAGAAATACCGCCAATCACAAAAATCTCGTTTTTAAAGACCTTAAGTGCATAATCAGATCTTTGATGCTATTTGTGATCAATTTCTGACTCTTAATCTTCAGTCAAATTTTTATAGTATTCTTTTATTTTAAATGGGTTCTATGCATCTATCAAGTATAGAATCGGCTCAATAAAGTTTTAATCTATTCCAAACATAACAGAAAGTTTCTATTTTTATCTAGTCTGTACTTAAATGAATTAATGTTGAGTGATTGCAAAAGTATCCCTATGTTTTTTATTATATTTATCTAATATCTCTCCACAAATTGCTGTTTTCCAATCATTTTCAAATGTTATGTACCTTACTGTATTGAAGTTTTCAAAGAAAAATAAACTTTTCGAATCTAATCCTTCAAGTATTGTATTTTTAGTTTTGAATTAAATATTTAGTTTGAACTCTGATGTTACCGTCTTGATATCTTTAGTTTTGCTATTAAGATCTAATTTTTTTATCTGCTTGATTTCTCTCTTTTTAATCGGAGTGTCTATACTAAATTCTTTTTCACTATCACTGCTTGAAGAATCAGTTTGTAGAATTCGTTTGGTATTGCGACGCCCTATAATTGGTTAAAAATTTTGCGGCTATCTCTAGGCAGTGGGTATATTCTTAGAATAATTTGGATTTTTTATAACTGAATTATTTTAAGAGTGCTTAATTGGTAAAATTGATTACATTAACTAGCTAGCCTCATATTCAGATATTTTGTCCTGAGAAATAGATATTTCACTTGATTCCTTTTTGAGATTCTATTTAACTTTTGATAAACCTTAGCTTTACTGAATTAACTAGGATGGTGTGATTTCAAATGTATCTTCATTCTATTCAGGATTTAGTTCCTGCTATTAGATCACTTTTATCTTATTTTCAAGTTGAACTTTACCCTGAATAGCTAGATTTACATCTGAAATCTTGAAATTAATTGAATCTGCCTTTCCGTTGAATAGTTTCTCTAGTTTTATAGGATCTTTTTTATTCTACTTTAGGAGTTCTTTTAATTCAGGTATTTCTTCTTTCAACATTTGATTAACATCTAGTTTTGTGGATATTTTGTTAAAATATTGGTCAATTAAGGTATATGATTAAGTTTTGAGATTAATCAACTCATCCTTTATTCTTTTGATTCGTTCCATTATTACTCTATCTTGCTTCTCTATGTCTTAATACAAGACATTGGTGCTTTCAACTTTTTTATTTTTGGATTCTCGGTTTTGTTGCTTCATTAGTATTTAAATAAAATATATAATTAATAATTATAGATCCAAATATATGAAATATTCATTAAGCTTACATTATAGTAATAGGGGGTTTTGGGGTTTTGGGG